CTTGTTCCTTCACATTTCAGTGGGGTTCGTCAGGGCAKCTGGCACCAAACGTTGCAAAACTGACTGCAGAGCTGCCTCGCGRTCCCCACACCCCCAGCCGGGGTGGCTCCCACCTTGCCCCAAATTGCTTTGACCTATTTACTAACCAGATTCTTGTCTCCAGCTTCCTCCGCTGCTCGAGGATAATGAGCTGTTTTGCGGTTCCGGCTCCGAGGTGGAAGCACAATTCCAGCGTGGGAACAACAACCAAAGAGCCCTCACGGTGCAGGTTGTACTGGAGTACAGTGGGACAAGGAGCCTTTCCCGGTGGGACAGCAGCCGGATGGGTCTTGTCTGCCGAGCGATGCAAACACAGTATGTCCAAATAGCAGCCCTGATAAGATTTTGCTCATTTATTACTAAAATTATAGGGAATTTGAAGGGATATAGTGTCATCCTGACACCTAATGAGAAACAAGTACCTGAGGGGTATAATGCAGCGCAGCAGAGAGAACTGAAATCGCTGCAGCGCCTGGAAACGCCAACTTGCAGCAAAGTTTGCGGAATTATCTTGCTGCGGGGAAGCTGACGCGGCACCCCGGCCATCCCTGCGGATGGCAGCGGGGTTCATATCTCTATAGTGGTTATGTGTCATTTTCTGTGAGGAAAAACTGCTGGCTGTCAGAGATAAACACAGTGAAAACTGCCACGGCACCCAAAGGGCTCCTGCGATGAATCCTAAGACGTGGAGCAATCGAGCAGTCCTGCACAGTTTTTCTAACGCTCCAGCAGAGCAGAAATGTGTTCCTTTTCTCATGAAAGCGTCGCATTACTTCTGGCTAATTAGAGACCGTGACCCCATAATTAAGCCTTGGGGTGGGCCGGGCTGCGAGGGTGGGAGCCCGGCTYGAGGACCTGCGTGAGGAGCAGCCGGGAACAGTCACCAATGGGAGGAAGCTGAAGGCAGCATGAGAGCATCTGATGATCTCGCAGATAAATGTACAGGTAGACTGTTAATGTATGGGTAAACGCTGCTGTGCTGAGYGTATGGTGCAGTTCTGGGGGTTCTCCTGCTCCGTGTTACAGTGCAGCTCAGCTCCAGGCTGCGGTGTAAAATCACGGGGCACCTTCCCGGGCGGGCAGTGCTGGTTCCAGGGTCTCCGCTGCGGTGGGGAAGGCACCGGCTCCCACCTGAGGGCTTCACAYGGGCTGCTTGGGTGCTGCTGAGCGTCCTGGTGTAGCCGGGTGCATCAAATCCGCCACGAGAAGGATGGGAGCAGCCTGTGCAGGAAGTGGTCCTGGGAATGGATTCAGCGGCCTGGATGGATTGAGGAGGAGGAGACCCATCCTCCTGCAGCGGTGCTGGCGCCTTTCCCTGCGCTGACTTCTGCAGCGCTCCCTTTATCCCAGCACTTCTGCCCTCAAACCTTTCCATGCCATTTGGACGCCCCTGCAGTTAAGGCTGGCTGGTGATGCCAGTGGTACCCATCAGCGTAATGTTGTTAGATACATCCATTAATTGTCCCCSGACCGGCTTTAAGGCTGATTACAAAAACTGACAATTTCCATTTTCTTAAAGGATGCTTAGCAACACTGGGACCCGAGAAAGCTTCCTCGTGTGGACATTTAACAAGTTAAACCTCTTCTGACAGTAATTCCTCAGCATCTCATATTCTTTCTCCAGACAGAGACCAAGGTCAAGTCAGTAATTAAAGCTTATCAGGGAGCCCACACGAGCAGGATCCAGGGGGTCTCCTCTCGCTTACACCTCCTGCCCTTCCCCAAGGCGTACCACCGCTGTGCATTAGCCTCAGAAATTGCTAAACCGTCCATTTTGCTATGGACTAAAGAGATAACGCCAGTGAATCACAGGAAAACAACCCGGGATTCTCCAGGCTGTGATTGCTGCCGCTGCCCGCGCTCGGCTCCGTGAATGAGCTGCAACAGCTACCCCCCGTTGCAGCGATAACGCGCTTGGGATCGAGGCGTGCAGCGGGAACGGGACTTTGTCCTCCGCCCGTGAGCTTGCGCCTCGCATCCTGCTGCCGCAGGTAGCTTCTCTCTGCAGATTTCTTCTACATGTGGCTGCCTGCGCTTCAGTGGAAAGGAAAATAAAAGCTCGAGAGTTTTGAGGTTTGGTAAGAATTTCTATTACACTCGGCGCGCTTCTCTCCTGAGACTGTTTCTTTGTTCCGGGTACAGTTTTTAATCTGGTAATTTCTGGGCTTTGTCAACTGTGTCTGCGACAGGGTAGCATTCCAGAAACCCAAATCCAAGCTGGAGCAGCGGAGGTCAGCGTCACAGCACCAGCTTTTATTAGGAAGTCTGGCACAGCGCTCTCTAAGCAGTCTAAAGCTCCAGCATCCTGGTAATGGGCCTCCAGACTGCTGAAAGTCTTTTAATCACCAAGAATTCGAAGCAGCACCTGCAGGGAAGGACAGAGTAGGAGCGCTCCCTTTCCAAACACTCGTAGGCTCCCTGATGGCTCCCGACAGCTTCATTCTGTGTTGAGACTCTCCCCTAGATCCCCAAAGGACCTCACCCCTCTCTTTGCACTAACCTGTTCTGCTTAAAATCAGGATGCTTTAACTGTTCCTGGATCTGCAATAGGCGAGAGGATACAGCGGGAACGGGCGCCAAGGGGCTCCTTGCAATGCCACTTTAGAGCTGCATCCCAGTGGGGCTGCTGGGACTCCCTCCCTCTGATCCTGTAAAGAGTAGATTTAACTCAGCAGGAATAAGCTGCTTATTGAAGAGCAAGCTGCAGAGGGTGAAGATGATATTTGCTGTAATAGCTGCTCCCGCAGCGAGGGGGCTCCAGGCCCTGCCACGGTCCCTGGGTTGTCCCCATGTCAGCAGGGAGCGGTGGCGGCAGCGGCTGCCATCTCCGGCCTACGGACACTGCTGGAAAACGCCCATGGATCCACAGGGGAGGTGATGGATGGCCCGGCAGCGGAGCGCTGCTGCAAGGGCCTCTCTCTGCAGGTAGCTGCCTCGAGGAATAGTTTGCTTGGAGAATATTGCAAAACACSAGTCAAATACAAACTGGAAGGTGGAAGCCAGAGGGAGATTGCAGAAACATTTGCACCTCATCTYGATGCACCAAGGAGGTGGACACTGTGCCGAAGAGGGGGCGAGTCTTYGTGCCCGTCCATGAGCTTGATAGTAAAATGAAACAAAGAATAAGCTCTTCCAMTGCTTTCCTTTGTTTCTATTTGATCTTCTTCTCTATTTCCTTTTCCCTTGGCTCCTCAGATTGTTAGTTTTACAGGTTATGGAGCTTTAGTAAAGTAATGCATCAGGAAGATGCTATTAATGATGAATAAAGGCTTTATATATTTATTTTTAGCAATTTAGATTTGTTATGGTCAATGCTATTACACGAAATGCCTGATTAATTAATGAAGGTGGGATCAGACTGACAGGAAATGTCACTGTAACGTGCTACCCTGCCTCAGAAGGTGCCCGTTAATTAACACTTAAAACCTAATTTGGGATCGTAATAGAGTTTTTAGAGTCTTCCTCGCACACGCTGCCGGCTGGCCGCTCGGCACCAGCACGGCCGCGAGCAGAGGCGCCCCGGGAAGGGAGCGGGGATTGGGGTGGCACCTGCTCCTCCCTGCGCCCCTTGTGAGCGGCCCCTTGGCTTCCCGAGGGGCTGCTGCCCGCCTGGACGGCCCGGGCAGCTCCCTGCCCCGGGAGGAGGGAGCAGCGGTGGCCCCTGCCTGCCTGGCACCCTGCATGATGCCCTGCAAGGTGCCCTGCACAATGCCCAGCGCCTTGCATGGTGCCCTGCACGATGCCCTGCACGGTGTCCTGCCCAGCACCCTGCACGATGCCTGTTGCCCTGCATGGCACCCTGAATGATGCCCTGCACGGCGCCCTATGCCCTGCCCAGCACCCTGCATGATGCCCTGCAAGGTGCCCCGCACTACACCCAGCACCCTGCACGATGCTCTGCAAGGTACCCTGCACAATGCCCAGCGCCCTGCCCGGCGCCCTGCACTGGTGACTGCAGCAGCTCGGCGCCRTGCGGAGGCACCGAATGGGCAGCGATGCACATAGGAAAATAAAAGCCTACGTACGCATGGCATACCTGCAGAGAACGTACATTTAAGAGGGAAATGTCCTCTCAATAATGTTTGATCTCATTAGTAAGCCTTACAAGAAAATTAATGTTCGGATGAAGTTAAAGCAGAGTCGAGCAGTGTGCGTTTTCCAGTGACGTTTATTTGTTTCCCGTAGCGCACTGACACAGCTTAGTCTGGCAGTGGATCAGGGTTTTCTTTTTTATATATTTTTTTTTTCTTAAAGTGTCTACGTGACAGCGAGTCAAGGCTAACACTGTGGTCAAAGGCATTAGAGAGGGCAGCAGCAGAAGCAATGAGGTGTCGCAGCAGGCTGTCGAGCACGGCAAGAAGAGCAGGAAGCGCCATGCCTGCGGCCGCCGCAGCAGAGCCGGGGTGCRGACACACACGGAATCGCCTTGGTCGCGTGAACCAGGCGAGCACAGCACCATGCAACACGAGCTGCAGCTGGGAAGGCGTGGGGAGCAGCACGGGGATGGCCGGCGCGCTCCGTGTTTCGGGAAGCGAAGCGCCTCGGGAGCGCGGCCRCCGGAGCAGCGTGGGGGCCATCGGCAGCTGGGACGCAGCCCTCAGGAGCGCTCGCTTGCCGAAGGGAACCACAGTTCTCAGGAAGCCTCTGCTGGGACAGACCTCTCCCTAGGGTCTCCCACCCCACTGCGTTTCCCCTCCGCTCACACGGAGTTGGAGCGTCTAAAGTTGACAAGAGCAAGGGACTGATGTCCTCTGCGGAGTGTCCCAGCAGACTGATCCCCCATCCCAGCTCCTTCCCTCCCAGCTCTGCCCGTGACCGTGTCCAGCCGCCGAGGGCAGCTCCGGTGCCAGCCCCCCCCTCCAAAAGGGCAAATGCCCCAGCTCTGTCCCCAGCAGCCGCCGCTGCCACCAGCTCGCGGGGCTCCCGCGGACGCGGAGCCCGGGCGGGCACGCGGGCGAGCGGCGCGTCGCCATCGCTCCCTCTTGCTTTCTTCACCCTGTCGCAGACCTTCCAGCACCCGAAAGCTCCTCGGCCAAGTGGTTCCTTTGCCCCAAGCAGTCGGCCCAGCGGCCGCCAGCCCCGAGGTCTCCGTGGCGGGGTGACCCTGCACCCTGGTTTGCAGCTAGGACCTTCGCCTTGGGCAGGCAGGCGGCCCCGAGCCGGCGCCAGGCCCTTGCCGGGCAGTTACTGTACAAATGGACAAGACACRCACACTATTTACAGCCTCTTTTCACATGATGGAGCAGCTCTTGGCTCGGTCTTTCCTCATCTCCGCGTCGCTGAGCAAGTCCGTCCTGCCAGGCATCTGCGACGCCCGCTTGAGTCCCCGCTTGGAGCTGCTGCGCTTCAAGTTCTTGTGCACCCTGTTGACGGAGGCGAGCGTGGTCACGTGGAAGACGTCCCGCACRCTGTTCTCCGACACCTTGGAGGAGCACTCGGCGTAGGCCACGGCGCCGATCTGCCGCGCCAGCGCGCTGCCCTGCGGGCGGACGGCACGCGTGAGGAGGCTGCRCCGCACGGACGGCCGCTCGCGCCACGGCACCAGCGCTGCAACCCTGCACCGAGACCTCCCGGCCCTCTCGCCTGCCCCCGGGATGCCCCGTGGGAGCACCCGTGCCCCAAGGGGACAGTCGGTCRCCACCACGGGAAGCTGGGGACACAGGCGGGACCTGCGTCCTCGCCGGCAGCGGCGGCCCCAAGGCAGGACCCGAGCAAGGAGTCGCTTGCGGAGCCGGGAGCGCGGCGCTGCCCGAAGAGGCACCTCCCGTGCTCCCCTTTAAACGTTTGGTTTGTCAGCRCGGGCGTCTCTCCTACCTCCGAGGAGAGACGTGGCTGCTCCTGAGCAGGAGCTGGTGGAGCAGAGCTGGGAACCAGCCGGGCTCTCCCCCAGGCCAGGGAGGAGAGGGCTGCAGGGGAGCAGCTCGGAGCCAGCTCCACTAGCCAAGACCAAAACACCTTCAGGCCAAGCCTTAATGCAGAGGTTCACCTGCTATTGAGCTTCCTGGTACTAATATTCCTTGGAAAAAGCACCCCCCTCGCCCCCAGGGATACGCTGGAGCGGTGGCCCGGACGCACCTGCTCGTGTGTGACAGGGATGAGGCGCTGCTTGGAAAGCTCCCGGAGCGTGTTGAGGTCCGTCCGCATGTCCAGCTTGCAGCCGACCAGCACGATCTTCGCATTGGGGCAAAATTCCTGGGTCTCCCCTTGCCACTGCAGCAGGCACAGAAAGAGAAGGTGTCTGGAGCAGCGGGAGACCGGCGGCCACCCCTCAAGACGGGCGCYGGGGCTGGAAATACAAAGGCCGTCGCGGGGTCTCTGCCCCGCGCGGATGCGGCCGAGAGGGTCTCGGCTCCTCTCGGCCCTTTAGGAAGGAACAAACCGGCAGCATCAGGACACCAGGTCCCTGCTGGCACCCGGAGGTCACCCTTGCCCGGCCTTTCGGAGCAGGGAGCTATTTGCACAGAACGCTCATTATTTGTTTATCATGGGGAGCTACATTTCTAAGCACATTAAGAGCATGGTTACAGCTAGGGAAGTAAAGAGCTGAAGCAACAGCAGGTCAAGGCAAACATCCACTTCTTTGGCACTAATGGACTTCTTAGAGCCGCAAAAAATGAATGTTCAACGTGCAGCTAAGTGTCTGCAGCAGTAAATGAAACCATCACCTGCGACCTCAGCCCGAGGAGACTTGCAGAGCTCAGCGCCAACAGCCGCTCACGTGGCTTTGGAAGAGGCAGGCAGGAGACAAGCGGAGATACCACCCGCTAGAGGTGTCACCTGGAATTAGCAGCTTCCTGCCACCCAGCTGCCAGCAAAGCACCTCCCCTAGGCAAGCAGAAGAGGAAAGCAAGCCCATCACCCGATGTCCATCGCCCGGAGGGAAGAGGAGGCGCTAAGGATGGCACTAGGAACAATTGGTCACGGAGCAACCGCAAAGCTTGGGAAAGGCTTCTTTTCCAGCAGGACATTGGCAGATGGGGCCGTGTGGTCATGCCTAACGAGGCAGGAGGTCATGGCAGTCCGTCACAACGTGGGGTTCCTCGTCTATGGGGTGCTGTGACCTTCTTCTTACACCGCCAAACCCTGGCAGGGCGCTAAGACCTGCCGCACTAGCAAGACCTGTCTGACCGAAGGCCCCACCCATGAAAACCAACTGTGCACGAAATGAAAAGCTGTTTGTTTGCTCCTTCCCCTTCCCTTGCACATGCTATTTATACAAACCGGGTCTGACAAATCAAAAAGCCGGTTCTGATTCTGCCAGTTCAGACGGGCAGCAAGAGCAAAGCTTTCCTCYGCGGCATTAGCATCTTAGCCCGCAGCTGGAGGAGGCAGCGTTCCTCTCCTTAAGTGGCGGATATCAAAAGCTAAAGCCCGTTTCAACTTCACGGTGTCTTAGGAATTCTCCTCACCTCTGTCGGCTGCAAGSCTGCGCCAAAGGAAACCAGGCATCTACTCAGAGGCACTTAAGAAATCCCTTGTGATTTAGGGTTTATTTTAAGCCGCCGTATCAGAAAGACGCTGCCTGCCTGTGTTGGAAGCATCTGTGAGGCGGCACAGCGAAGACCTTGCACTGAGCAGTGCACAGTCTCACACAAAGCGTATCTGCAGACACACATAAATAAATCCCARCTCCAGCTAATTGCCAGTGGGTTTGCAGCTCATTAAGGTGTGAGCAATTTGCCGGGTTATTATTGAGCTGACTCCCAAGCCGAGGAGCAAACTGCGAGCGCGAGCCGCTCTGCAGCGGGAAGGGCTCTGGAGCCGAACACTGGGCCATTGACCGCCTCGTCTGAGGGGTCTTTGTGCCCTCCGCAGGACGTGGAGCCCCAGCTCCGCTTCGCAGCCCTCCCTGCGCTCACAGAGAGCCACTCGCACAGCCCTTGGCAAGACACGGCGGGGTCGAGGGGCAGACCCCAGCGTCCGGCCCCGGGAGCTGGGGGCTGAGGGAGGAAAGCAGCAGGAATCGCCCCCGGTTTTGCAGGAGCTCTCCCGGCTCGCTAACGCGGGCAGCTCCACCCGCTCRGATGCCAGCCCCGACTCGCTTCTGGGGCAGGACGCGGCGACGAGCTCGGTGCGGAGAGCGCTCGGAAACCACAGCTCGCTCCGCGTCCGGAGACGTAGCAGGAGCAGCCAGGAGCGTCAGGAGGCTCCGAAGCAGCTCCCACAGCTCCGGCCGCTCCCGCCGCTTCCACCGGGCTCAGGGCTGGYACAGCCGCTCCGGGGAGAGCTGCTCTCCTGCCGGCTGCTGCCCCCGTGTCCCGCTCTGCATCCCGTGCTGCCAAGCGGGACGGCTCAGCCCTGCGGGGGCTGGCAGCACCCCGGGCCCTGTGCGCCGCCCGGCCCCGTGGCACGCGGCCACCGCCGTTTAGTCACGTGCAGGCTTGAAATCCAGTGCCCACAGCTCGTTATTCCTGCTGCCAGGCTGCAGGGAGCTGATTGCTGTCCTTGCCACGGTGCAGATGCCGAGCTGGGGGGGCGGCCAACAAGGCGAGCACTCTGCTTGCATGGAAACAGGCACCAGGGCCACTTCCCAACCGCTGCGAGGGACTCGTAACGTGCTGGCTGGTGGCTACACTAACTCGGGATGCAAATGCTTTCCAAGGGCTTCATTAGAACCAGAACAAATGTCCGACATTTCCCTCCACGCCTGCATTTGCACATGCGCATATGCATAGACACCTCCCCTGCAAGGCACCATGAGCTGCACTATTCACAGGGCTCCTTTCAAATGGAAATATCTTGCTTTCTGCTGCAGAGATATTGGGATGGGTAGCAGCAGGCCATCCCGGTGTGCACACCAGCTCCAGCTCAAGTCTGCCCATATGGGCCGGAGCTGGTAGCCCTGAGCAGCACCCGAGAGCAGGGCACCAGCGAGCCCCACGTGCTGCTGCAGAGCGTCCCGCCGCAGGGCTGAGCACTGACCTTCTTGAGCACGCTGTCCAGCGTCTCGGGGCGGCTGATGTCGAAGCAGATGAGCACCGCGTCCGAGTCCGGGTAGGCCAAGGGACGGACGTTATCGTAATAGGCTGAGCCTGCAGACACGAGAGGGAGGAGAGCTGAGAGCGGGAAGCCAYGGGCAGGTAGCCCAGGCTGCAATCACACCTACACGCGACACTGCGGTGGCCCAGGGTCTCATCCTTGCCAGATTTCTATCTACACTAGAAAGCAATGCAGCTTTTGCATCCCTCGCAAGCAGAGGCAGCTGTGCCGGCGCTCTGCAGCGAGGGCAGCTCGGGAGGGCTGCGACACRGCGCAGCAGCCAGCCCTCCCTCCTCTCCGCCCTTGCAGGTTCTGCTCTTTGGCTGGTCGTGCAGCCGCTGCAGCACCAAGGGCAGCGAGGGGCAGCGGGGAGCAGGCAGCGGACCAGGAGCGCTGCAGCAGACGGTTCATCCGCGTGTGGGTCAAATGCAGGTGTGGACC